AAAAAAAAAAAAAAAGGAAAGAAAATGCCCAAAATAAAAAAGACCTGGTTGAGTGGCTCAAAGTGGTAGAGTGCCCTACCTAGCAAGCAATGAGGCCTTGAGTTCCCAAACCCCAGTAACATCAAAAAAAAAAAAAAAAGTTTAAAGAGAATGGGGATGTGGGCATGGCTTGGCTTAGTGGTAAAGTGCTGCCTAGCAAACATGCAAGGCCCTGCATTTCAATATCAGTACAAAAAGGAAGAAAAAAAGGAGAGAAGCCATGTTGTAGAATATAATTAAAACTGTAATATCAAGCCTGGGGCTGCAAGTGATATAAATCTAATGAATAAAATTCTACAGAATCAAGACAGCAAATGTCTTTTAAAATAATATTTCCTCACAGAGGAGAGACTGTAACACCATCTGAAATGAGTCTCCCACGCTGGAATCTGTTGCAGAGTGATTGATAAGGTCCATAAATATCCTTGGTGCAAATTATTTTTTTACCTTGAGGAGTAGCAATGTGGTAATTATTTCAAAATTTGATTGTTACGGCTATTTATTTTTGGTTTGTTTGAGACAGCCCAAGCTGGTCCGGCACTCACCATCCTCCTGCTGGGATTACAGGCATGCAACACCACCACACCCCGTTTTTTTTTGGGGGGGGTTAATGAAGGAAAACACTATATATTGGTGAATAATAAACAATAATTTCTCACTGGCAACTGAAAAAAACATTTGTCATGTTTACTATTTATGTGTCAAACCAAGGGTGAATACTGACAACAGTGGTCTTTAATGCTTGAGAGTGCCTGGTACCATGGATGGTAGATACATGTTCAGAAATACTTTGTAACTGGGAAATAACACCAACAATAAGGGGAAGGAGCAGAGAAGGAGGAGAGAGAGAGAACTGGGTGCTTACCATGTGACAGGCAATTTGATACAAGCTTTACAAAGCATTACATACTACCAGTCCTCCCAATGACCCGTGACGTGGCTAGCTCCTATTGTCATCCTCAGTTTACAGATAGGAAGACTGGGCCACAGGGAGGGTAGGTAGCTCAATTATACCTGATCACAAACTGAAAGGTAGGACCTGTAACTCAAGTCAGATGTTCACCTGTAGAATTTTTAGTCACTATATGTTTCTTAAATTCGAGTTGACTAAAACTGAGTTTTTCAAGCAGTACGGCAACAGCCCCATCAATTTATTAGGTCTTTTAAAAAGATTAGAATAGGCCTGGAGGTGTAACTCAAGTGGTAGAGTGTCTGCCTAAGCAAGCACAAGGTCTGAGTTCAAACTCCAATACTGCCTAATAATAATAATAATAAACAATATAAAAAGACTACAATGGAACAGCAAATGTCAGCGTATATCACGGTTAAGGTAGGTTGCATAGAACTGCCATCCTATTTCAGTCATTGTGTTGTCCCATGTACACATGCTGTACATGTAGACTGACTCACAATGTAAAAGGATTTTTTTCTGAGGCTCCCTGTGTATCCCAGGCTGGCCTTGAATTGGTGAGCCTTCTGTCTCAGCCTCCCCAGTGCTGGGATTGCAGTAGTGCACCACCACAATTAAAATGATTTTTTTTTTTTTTTACTTGAGATGAGGTAAAAATTGTTTGCAAGTCCATCAACCTCAAGTATTGTTGACTTTTTTAATTATCAAAAGCAATCTTTTTAAGTGCTGGTTACTAAATAATTAAGTTGTAAAACTTTGAGAATGGTCATTTAAATTGTATCTATTGTTTTAAAAAACTGGACAATTAGAGGTTATCTTAAAATTAACATCTCTGTGCCATCTTTCCCCAGCCTGGCAGCTCGAGCCTGCCATTAAACTTTGTTCTTGGATGTGAAAAAAAAAACAAACAAACAAAACCTAGAAGTTCAAGCACGGTGCTGGTGGCTCACGGCTATAATCCTAGCTACTCAGGAGGCAGAGAGCAGGAGGATTGCGATTCAAAGCCAACCATGGCAAATAGTTCAAGAGACACTATCTCAAAATACTCAACACAAAAAAGAGGTGGTGGAGTGGCTCAAGGTGTAGGTCCTGAGTTTAAACCCAGTACTACTGCAAAAAACAAAACAAAATATATATACCCTAGAAGTTCAAAGCCCAGTGCCATGAAAAACAAAAACAAACCCCCTAGAATTGGCCAGGTGCTGGTGGCTCATGCCTATAATCCTAGCTACGACCAGTTAAGATCAGGATGATCAAGGTTCAAGACCAGCCCAGGCAAATAGTTCAAGAAACCCCATCCTTAAAAAAACAGAGCAAAATGGACTGGAAGCATGTTTCAAGTGGTAGAGTGCCTGGTTTGCAAGTGTTAAGCCTTGAGTTCAAACTCCAGTTACAATAAAAAAAGAAAAAGAAAAAAAAGTGGCCAAAAACTTGAGAGCACAAAATTAAGTAAGATTTTATAAAGTTACTCATTTATCTTTTGGTTAAAATAAAAATCTGAACATCATAGCTTAACCTATCTTCATCTTCAATCCTTTTGTCCTTTTTGATACTTTCAAGTATGCTGGTGGCTCATGCCTGTAATCCTAGCTACTCAGGAGGCAGAAATCAGGAGGATCATGGTATATAAGCCAGCCTGGGCAAAAAAAAAAATTTCATGAGATCCTATCTCAAAAAACCTTTCTCAAAAATAGAGCTTGAGTGGCTCAAGGTGAAGGCCCTGAGTTCAAGCCTCAATACCGCCAAAAAAAAAAAAAGTATAATTGGATTGATGTATTTTTAGATTTAATTTTATAGGGAAATAAGATAGCTATGATATTTTCCCTTTTCAGGAAACTAATTCTGTCAAGTTCGTATCTGCATCAATCAGGTTTTGTAATGTGCTTTTTTTGTGTTCATTTTGGTTTGATTTAGTTTGTTTTGTTGAGACAGAATCTTCCAACATAGCCCAGGCTGGCTTTGAACTTGCTATCCTCCTGCCTCAGACTCTCAACTGCTGGGATTACTGCCATGTGCCACTGTATCCACCTACAATAGCCCTTTCTTTTTCTTTTTGGTAATGGGGATTGAAGGTATGGTCTCTTGGCATACTAGGCAAGCACTCTACTTGAGCTATACCCCAGCTCTTGTGCTTTTTTCATTTATTACTGTGGGGTAGAATGTTTTCATGTTTTGAAGAATAGTTTGTGCTTCTTGCTCAGTTTACCACAAAGACTTATGCAAATGCAAAGAGGAATTAGCCTTCATGACTTTGTTCTTATTTGTGTATATGATTAATTATGACTCATTCTAATATATTAATGAGAAGGTATAGGACTTAGAAGGCTTTATGTATTTTTTATTGTTTATGTAGCCCAGGCTTGCTTTGAACTCATGATCCTCCTGCTTCAGTCTTTTTTGCAGTAC